CTCTCTCTCTCTCTCTCTCTCTCTCTCTCTCTCTCTCTCTCTCTCTCTCTCTCTCTCTCTCTCTCTCTCTCTCTCTCTCTCTCTCCCTCTGTCTTTCTTGTGGCTATACGGGCGTGTGCTTAAGCGGCCGAGCGTGCACAAACGTGAACGAGTGCACGCTCATCCGCGCACCGCTTAATAGTGAGTTGTGTGGATTTTTGTTGTGTTTTTTTTTTGTTTTTTTGTTTTTTTTTAGGGAGGACAACCACCCGTCGGCAGTTGGCCGTCGTGGCCGAAACTCCCCCTCCACCACTCCCCCGCCGCCTGGTACCTCGTACACCCCCTACCGGCCCTCCACACATGTCGTAATGCCCTACCCGTGAACACGCTCGATGCGCTCAAGGCGCGCTTGAGCGCGGTTTTGAGAGGCGCTAAAAAACTCGAGTGCCGCCCACACGCTCAATCAGCACGCGGTTTCATAGGCAGGGTGCGCCCGACCGCCCATTGGCGGGTGGAGGCGGTGACTTGGAGTAGGCCGTGATCCACATCAATCGCGAGGCCCGTGGCCCGGGCGAGGAGGGATTCTCGGGACACGAGGACATGCTAGCGTTCGATCTAGTTACTGGGGAAGGGATCGAGAACTGGCAGCGGCGAGTAGGCAAGGGACAGGTGCCTGCAACGGAGAGTGCGAGGTGGGAGGGTCCTTCAAAGAGGAAGGAAGGAGGAGTTCATCCGGCTGCCACGCAATATGGAAAGAGGCTTAGGCAGCAGAGGGTTGACGAGGTCTACGGTGGCGAGTGGGTTGCTCGCCACAAGAAGGTCTTCCTTCGTTGGCTTTATTCCAGTGGGGTCTCCTTCAATGCCTTTCGCAGTGAGGCATGGAAGGCATATGTCCATGTGCTCCTTCGGCAACCTGACAATTCGCAGTACGTTGTGCTCTTTAACCACATCGAGATTGCGAGCATGCAAGTTGTGGAGACCCACCACGCGGAGTTAGCAGAGGAATTGGAGGAGGTGAGGACTACGAAACACCCGCGGATGCATCCGCAGGGTTGAGCTCGGAGGGTGGCCGTGATCACGGTCGCCGCGGCTCCGGCCGTGGTTGGGTGCGGCTGCGACTTTCAGGAATTATTTTAGACTTTAAAAAATTCTCAAAGAAAAAAACAAAAAATATGGGGTTCTAGATCGTTTCGGGATCTAAATTGCACAATTTTTTATTTTATTTTTTGACTTTATCTTCGAATTTTAAAATTTCAAAAACTGATTTTCCGGAGGTAAAAGCTGTTGTTGTTTTTTTTTCAAGAAAAAAACATAAAACTTATGTGATTTTTTATTTTAAATTCAGTAACGTTTGTGGATATGACCACAAGGCAAAAATTGTTCAGTATATTTTAACATATTTGTTTTTCAGAATTGTTTTAATTTTTTTTTTTTTATGGTTGTGGACCGCAGCCATGGCTGAGGGGTCGCGGCGTAGGCCGCACATGCCACCATCCTCTCAGACCGGAGGAAATGAAGAGACAGGAAATTGATCCTGAATTTTCTTGGCGCAAGCTCCCGAGGGGTCGTCATGTACATGGCGATAAACCGAGAGGGGGAGCCAGACGATGCATAGCACGTCCTTCGGAGATGGGTCACCATCTTCCACGAGTTCAGGTTCGGTGCGCCGCAGCGGGTCAATGGGATATGCACTGACTCCACTTAAGCGTATGTGGGGGCTGCAAGAAGTGTCGGACCCGTGAACGTGACCAACACCGGTCACTTGAACATGACCGGCCGTTCATTTGGTGTTTTTTTTGTGAACTTTCATTCACAATGAACGGTGCGACCACGAAAAAGTGGTGTCCTTCTTTTTTTTTCCTTTTTTTTTTGGGGGGGGGGGGGGTTGGGGCTCACTCAGCTAAAGTCGCCTCAAGCCCCACGGCGTGATGACATTGAAAAAATCATAAAAAATCGAAATAACCTACAAAATAACAAACGAAAATGCTTATTTTGGTGGGTTGCATTTTTTTTCGTTTTTAATTCAAAAAAATATTATTCGTGAAAAGAAAAAATTTAAAAAAAATATGGGGAGTTACCCTCCGATGTCCCCCACCCTCCTATAAAAAAAAACACGCCCCCCCCAAGCACAAAACAAAAAAAAGCCCGATCCCGCTCTCCGTGAACTCCATGAACTCCTCCACCGTCAACTTTGTGAACTCCATGACCGTTTTCCGTTTACAGACCCCGTGAACGGTGAGCGGGGGTATGTCACTGGCTGCAAGGGCGTTGCTCTCCACGACCATGCCTTTTGCATTGAGGAGGATCACTTGGCTCCCATGCTCGGTCCATGTCTGCAATAAATTGTTGTCAGACATCAGGACGAGTTGCTACGTTTTCGTGGACACGATCACACGCGCTCGTGTATTGGTGGTGTTTTTCAAAATCCACCTGGCCGCCCTTCATTTTTTCAGGAAGCGCAACCCTAATATGGGGCTTGTTCTTTTCTGCGAGACGCGGTTTGCGTCTGTTTGCTCCATGCTGGAGAGACTGCTGGCTCTGCAGGACACTTTGCAGGGCATGATGCGAGGGGACCATTCGCGGGCTTTTGCTTCCATTCCGCGGTTTGCCGACATGTGCTACACGGCGCGTTGGGTGCGCCTCCAGATTATATGGGATCCTTGGTGGCAGAGAGTGACGACCATCGTTCATATCATGGAACCCGTTGTCGGGACTGGTGAGTCCCGAATAACTTCCCATCACTCGAGAGATTGAATACGGACAATTTGTGCACAACAGAGAAATCTGGAGTGAAACAAAGGATTAGGCCATAGAAGGGAGTGATGCCCTGAGGAGAGAACCAGAGGAGGAAAGAACTAGCGGCGGCAAGCAAGCGAGCGCAAGAACAGGGGCACATAGAACATAGCAGCAGCGCGACAGCAATAAGGGAATGAGGAAGTCAAGGAATGGACGGCCAGAAGCCGCGGGAAGCCAGGAAATGAGGGTCCAACATGGGGGCCACCTATGGGACCCTCGGAGCGGAGGCCCGCAACCAAAGAGATCGGCACGCATAAGGCGCGAGGAAAGACTAAGGAGAGGGATCCCTATGGGGCGACAAGACGTCCAAGGGGCATGGGACACCTTGGGGAAAGGCACCCGGGGCCACGTGGGACTAAGTAAAAATAATGGCGTCTGGGGCGAAATGTGTCGGGGACCGCCAACGAGACTAAGTGTCGGGGACCGCCGACGGGACTAAGTGTCGGGGACCGCTGACGGGACTAAGTGTCGGGGACCATGGACAGGACTGAAGTGTCGGGGACCACCAACGGGACAAGTAGCGGGGATATGTGAAAGTCCCAAGAAGAAACGGCAGTACCGCATGAGGGGAAAACAATAAATGCAAGGTGCACCGTCAAGATCGACATCTTGACGGTCAAGAATATTAGCACCACTAGTGCAAGTACTAGTGATGACAAACGGGAAGGTCAAAAGGAAAAGGAAAACTAAAGAAAACTGAAGCAGGAGGCATGTGAGCAATCCGAAAAATCTCGGATCAGCCTCCCTCAAGAAAATAGAGTCAAATGAGACCCCATGTGAAAAACAGCCCTCCGGGAGAAAATCGGAGTAGGAGGGACCATTGTGGGAGAAATGTAGAAGTAAAAGGAGGCTCCCATGGGCATGGGAAGGCCATTATTGCAGTCCGAGAAATAACGGACTGCACCTTGGGCATAGGGAGGGCCAAAACTAAGAGAAGGAGGCTAGAAAAGGGCCTTAACGACCACTTAACGCTTGACATGCTAAAAAAAAAAGAAAAAAGAAAAAAAAAATGTGAGAGAATAAAACGAAAAAAGTGAGAGGGAGTGAGTGAGTTGGCCGTCGGTAGGGACTGTCATAGGTAGGGACTGGCAGGTCCCTACTGTCCAAGAAAAGAGGAGAAAAAAAAAAAAAAAAAAAAAAAGGCCTTAACGGTAAAAAACGGTCACTTGGGGAGATTCATCCGTGACCAGATTCATTGTGGAATATGGCGGTTACAAAGAACTTGGATTTTCTTTGAATTTTGTAGAGAAAATCAAAGAAAATCAAGGCCTCTTGCAACCGGAATAAAACGGAATATATGCATGAGGAGAAACACATGTTTTAGGTGCATCCGGAGCCAAAATCAAGGCCGGATGCACTTGGGAGTTGACCGTTTCTTTTTCTTTTGAGTAAGGGCTAGTTGTGGGGCATTGGGGCTAAGGAATTGACCCCCATTGTAGTCCGAGTTGCAACGGGCTGCATGGGAGGGAGAAAACACATGTTCTAGGTGCATCCGGAGCCAATATTGAGCCCGGATGCACTAGAAAATTTAACGCATCATTTTTTTTCAACATGGGGAAAGTTGTGGGGCTGTGGGTATGAAAAACAACCATGACTGCAGTCCGAGAAATTACGGACTGCATGGGGATGCCAAGGCCAAGGGGAAATGGGCTACGGCAAGCCCGGAAGGCTAAAAAGGAGCAATTTCGGCAAGGGGCAAGTAAAGACGGTAAACGGCAACCGTGAGATGAGATCTCACGGCCTAAAAACATTAGCACACATGTAGAGATGATGGGACCACCAAGGGTAAGGGGGCCCAAAAATAAAAACGGGACGCCGTCTGGTATATTGTCGGGGGCAAAATGGGTCCAAATAATAAAAATTAGAAAAACGGGACACGCGCCGGTGGGACAAGGAAATGGAGCTAGCATGTAGGAAAATGGCGGGGACTTGGGATGTCCCAAGGAAACCATGAGCAAACACAAGGAATAATTGTGGAAGAAAGCGGCACCGTCGAGATCGAGGATCTCGATGGTGGAAAATATTAGCACCACTAGTGCAAGCACTAGTGGGAGCAAGTGAGGGAGCCATGGGAGAAGGAAAAGTGGAATAAGGGTGTTGGGAAGGCTGCCCAGCAGTCCGGGATATCTCTGACTTGCAAGGAATAAGAAAATAGAGCCTTGAGAAACCCAACATGAGAAAAAGGTTGCCCTTAGAAAATCGAAGCAAAAGGGGCTCAGAATTGGGTAAACGGAAGCAAAATTGAGCCCCCTAGGAGCATGGGGGTGCCATTATTGGAATCCGAGATATAACGGTCATGTAACAGCCATGAACCTGGCCTTGAATGAGGCCCTAGGGCCAAGAAAAAGGATGCACAACAGTTTGACAATTGTCACAACATAAATAAAATAAAAAGAAAGAAAAAGGGGAGAAAAAGAAGGGAGAATGAGACAAAAGGGAAGAAAAGAGTGAAGGAGAATGTGCCGGCCTATTGGGACCTGCACAGTAGGGACTGGCAGGTCCCAACAGTGACCTTATCCCTCCTAGAATAAGGGAGGGCAATCCGGATTGCAGAGATATGACCCTTAGGATCATATCTCAATAAAATCTGAATTAAAAAGTTGAAAATGAGAGAAAATGCAAAACGGAAGTGGCTGGTTTTCTTTTGGACCATGGATCTGAGATCAAATCTCATGGTAGAGAGGAACTAGCCGTTTTTTGTGGGCCATCTCAAAACGACTAGCTCCGGAATGAGGTGGCAGCCCAAAATGGAAAGAAACAAAAGAGGGAAAAGGACAAAACAGTGCATTTGGCCCAAAAAGAGAGCCAGATGCACCAAGAATTGAAAAACTGGACTTAGGGGCTCAAAATTGAAGCAAGGGTTACTAGAGGGTAGCTCGGATTATTGCTGGCCTTCGATTTCAGTCAGATCCAAGGCTGAAAATGTGCCGTCAAATAGAAAAATTCTCCGGCCTACTCAAAAGAGGCCGAAACTTGAAAAAATCGAGAAAAAAGACCCACAAGGCCTTTTTCTTTCAATTATTGCTGCCCCTTGGGCATTTGGACCCTAGGGGGTAGCATTTGAGCAATAAAAAAGAGGCCGGGGTAGGCCAAGAGGCAGTTCGAATCGGTATCAACCACTTGGACTACATGCACTTGGCCAAAAAGAGGCCCAGGTACCTCCACGAGTGCCTAGTGAGGGAATTTTGTCGTGGGGGTACCTCGGTTCACCTCAAGGCTCATGGGGAGGCTTATGGGCTGGCCGGACTGCTGGTTTCAGCCTACATAAGCTGAGGATGCAATCCGCCACTCTCACATTTGCATGAGGAGTACCCATGCTGCCCAAGTGAGCTCACAGGAGCACCTTTGCACTTGGAGTGAGAGGGGAGGAACCCATGCTAGTGGGAGAGCTTAGAGGAGACTAGGAGGTAGTGGAGAGGACTCTAGAGGATAGTGATGGTGGAAGAGACACTTAGGAGGTGATCCGCCATATCCCTCCTGGGTGTAGGAGAGAAGGAGGAGCTAGAGGAGCCTCATTAGCCCTACTAGAGGGGAGGACTCCATAGCCATAGTTGGGGGAGTTTGCCATAGCCTAAGAGAAAGCAAGAGAGAAGGAGAGAAGGGCTTGGAGAAGAAGGAAGTCGTAGACAAGAGAGGATTGTGCAAGGAGAGGAAGCTTCATCAAGAGGACACCAACACCAAGGAATCAACAAGGTGAGAGGAAGGAAGAGGCTTCTTCACCTTCATCTTCTTCTTCTTCTTCCTCCTCTTCTTCTTCTTCTTCTTCTTCTTCTTCTTCTTCTTCCTTTTCTTATTCTTCCTCTTCTTCTCCTTCTTCCTCTCCTCCTTCGTCTTCCTCTTCTTCCTCGTCACTTCCTCCTTCTTTCTGTTCTCTCCCCTCTTCATCTCCTCCTTCCTCCTTCTTACTTTCATTGTCTTTCTCTTTCTCCCCTTCTTCTCCATCTCCATCTTCCTCATCTCTCTCCCCTTCTCCTCCATCTTCTCTTACTTCACCTTCTCTCTTCCATGGGCTACTCAAACTCTTCTCTTTCACTTATGCACTAGGAGGTAGTACTCCGATTCTTAAATAGATGCTTCTTCATGCAATCTTGATGATTTGGGTTCTCCAAACTTGTGATTTTCACACTCGTACTAGTAGGTAGTATAGCGCTTCACACATAGATGCTTCTTGATGCAATCTTGATCATTTGGGCTCTCCAAACTTGTGATTTTCACACTCATACTAGTAGGTAG